CCGACATCTTGAGGTCCTACTTCGCATGCTTCGGCGAAGTACTCGCTGTGGGTTTGTCTAGGAAACCCCTAACAGACGAGCCCGGTGGATGTGCCTACATTTCACTCTTGTTGTCAGGAGATCGCAGCCAAATCCTCCATACGGAGCACATTGTATGTGCGGTTCGCCTTAATATAAAGGAGTGGTATTCATTTGATTTGGCAGAAACCAACTCAGTAAAGTGAGTTTTCAGGAGGTTGGATTGGTTTTCTTTACGATGGTGATTTGAATTTTTCGCCTTCAGCTAAATTAACATTTTGTACATCTTATGTTATGTTTCGCGCAGCCTTGGTTAAAACCTTTTAAAATGTTTTTAGGCTCGCCGAAGGCGATAACAAAGAGAATGTGGTTTTGGAGCCAGTATTGCCGAGGCTCCAATCCGAACCTATAAATCAACAGGCTCCAATCGATCGGCAGCAACAACCAGATCTACCAAGCACTCAGCAGCAAAATCAAAAACAGCAGGCTGTCGAAGAACCTGCGAACGTTTGCGAATTATCCCTGCAGGGTTTAAGAAGCCGAATTACCGTGGATGACTTAAGAACTCACTTTGCATGCTTCGGCGAGGTTCTGGGCGTAACAAAGACACCATACGGAAATGGCTACGTAATAATACGACAAGGAATAGGTTGCGAGGGCATCCGTGAAAGGAAGCATAGGATACGTGGAGTCAAGATAACTGTTTTAAAGAACACTCCATCGAAAATTAACTCCGTAAGGTGACTTTACAAGGGTTTGTTTTACTAACTTTTGCTGTGGTTGCTTAACACGGTTGAATATGACTGATAAGAGGTAGGCGCGATTGCTGGAAAAAAGACTATATTCGTCTGACGTTTTGGATTCCAGGTCGAGCACAGGTGGTTGTGGGTTGTTGTCTGCTGAAACTGCATCAGCCGTGTTAGTTCGGTACGGGCTCGGCCACCTGGCTCAGTAGATACCATTCACACGCACTGGAAAGCATTGCTAGTAGACAC